ACTGATACGATTCTGATTAGGAAGTTGGATAAGATTAAACCTCTCAGCGATATAAAACCGTCAGATGTGCGCTTGTCTTAACAAACGTTCCATATCGACATTGACCACAATGAGACTACTCCTCCTATGTGTTATTTTGGCGCTTTTTATAGCGTCCGTTATGGCCGTTTGTCCCGAAAAGCCACGTACGGAATTTCCAAGGTGTAGATGTGAACCTCCTTCAGCTACAAAACGAGAGAATTGGTAAGTTATCTTTCCCTTCTAACATTTAAACGTTTCTGGATAGTACCAGATTTATGGTACCTGCTTTGACCCTAGAAAACACAACAGAATCACGCTCAAACTTTGATCAATTTTCTGTTGCAGTGGGCCATGCAGGACAAAGAAACTCGCTGAGGGACTCGTATACTGCACTGATTAATCATGAAAAACTTGCTGAATTGAAACTTAAAAATTGGTTACTGAAAATAAACGTATTGAAAATAGTCGACAGTAGTTTTTTTTAGTGCAGATTCATGCGGTACACCTAAATACCACCTCTTTTGTCATGCAGATCTGAAATACAATTTTAGAACTGCTGGGTTAGGTGCAAAAGTATTTTATGATGGGCTAGTGAGGGTAGCCAGTAACTTTACTTTCTCAAAGGTTTTCTATTTCGACTATGGATGTAACATTTGGTCCTTCGAGCTTTACTACATCGCGCGTGGTTTCAACAGTCATCATAACAGAAAGAAAAGGACATAGGACAAAGATAGGATCATCACGTCGACTTGGAAGGAAATATGGACAAAGGATCGTCGGCATCGAACCAAGGACAGAGCCGTAGACTGGAGGGACCTTACTAAAACGCAGGGAAAGGATCTTCAGAGACGTCAACTGTGAGTTACAGTAGCACCAGGATATCAAGGAACACTAAAGAGCTAGGTGTCTTTCTATAATCAGAGGCATCTGCAAAAGAACCTATTGAGATGATTGGGCATCTAAGCGGAATGAAACATGGTACCAGCTTGTAGATCTGAAATTGTTTTATAAAAATGGAGAGAAGATAAAAATCCTCGCTGCGCTTGACACCTTTTCAGGATACTCACTAATAGATACGAGGATTGTGAAGAAGTTAGGAATCTCAAGGAAAAAGGTAACTTAAAAAAAGGAATCGTGGAGAGGGTGGGTGATAATGGTACTACCGAATCACAAGGATTGTCACTATCAACTGGACGAAGTGCTGACAATGGATAATTTAGAAGAAAGACTACCGCGAATAAGTTTCAGAAGAGAAAAGCCTAAACGATGGGATTTCTATAAATATGCGGCTTTAGTAGAATCTGAAGACTCCAATATATCCATATTCCAAGATCTAGGAACATGAGATAGTGAAGCAAAGCTTTGGAACAGAAGATTTTGGGGCAAAAATCTACAATGATAACTATTGAACTTCGGAGAAAAAAAGGGCACTAAGAATGATGGACAGATGAAAATAAGAAGCGAACAGAAAGCAGGAGAATTGCTAGGAAGAGGCTAGTGTATCTGGAAAGGAGGATGGATAAAGACGCAGACTTGGCGAGACAATATGAAGAATATACTGAGAAAGGATATTTAAAAAAGATATCTTCTGATGAAATGAAGATAGAAAAGCGTAATAGTCCAGGCAAATTGCAAAAGAAAATTGTTAATGGAGCTTTACCAAGTGGATATGTTAAAATGGTCTATAACAAATACAAAAAAAATAAATACCGGAGCAGGGGAGTGGGAGTAAGTTTTTGGGGAGGGTGTAAAGGGGTGAAAATCGTATGACGGCAATTTCCGACAAAACTAGAGATCAGAGATAAAAGTGTTCAATGGAAAAGGTGTAGATCGTGAAAAACTTTCTTTCTAGTCGCTTTCTCACATACTTACCTTAAAATAACCGAAAAAAATCGCGAAACCGTGTTTCTTATTTTTTATTATTAATTTCCGCAAAAATGATTTTCTTTTAACGAGACGAGAGAAAATATGTCGAGTTCATAAGAATGTTGTATGAATTATTGAATTTGGGAAACAAAGGCGGTGGCTGTTTTTAGTTTGAAGTTCATACAATTTCGAAAGAGAATAAATGTCATTTTTTAAA